CGCATGGAGACTTTGAGCAATGGCATTTCAGAATTCCATCATGATCCGGATAACAATATTACATTCGAAAATTGGTACAAACGATTCGAAAGTGTGTTCACAGAGGATGCTCACAAGCTTTCAGATGCAGCTGAGGTACGACTTCTTCTAAGAAAACTGAATACCCAGTGTCATCAGCAGTATATCAACATAATTCTACCACAAGAATCGAAAGAGATCAATTTTGAAACTACTGTACAAAAATTAAAATCTATGTTTGGTTCAAAGAATTCAATTTTCAATATACGCTATCACTGTATGAAGTTGCAAAAATCTATTGAAGAAGATTATATTGCTTTTGCATCGAAAGTGAACAGATTTTGTGAAGATTTTAAAATACGAGACATTAGTGCTGACGAATTCCAGTGTCTCATATTTATTTGTGGTCTTCAATCAGGTTCAGACGCTGATGTTAGAACAAAATTACTTTCAAAAGTAGATGGAAAAGACGCAGAAACATGTACTCTCCAGGATCTAACAACTGAATGTCAGCGTATATTAAATATCAAAAAAGACACAGATATGGTTGGAAACCCAAGTTCATCGAATGTGCATGCAATTTCAAGAAAGCACAAGTTCAACAACTTCAAAAAGGGTTCCCATCCTATTTCAAATCAAGATTCTAATAAGACTGTTCCAAAAACTCCATGTTGGTTCTGTGGTCTCATGCATGTTTGTGGTAAAACAAAAGTTGAACATCAAAATAACCTGATGAATGTACTTCGACGCATCAAAGAATTTGGTTTCCATCTACGCATTCAAAAGTGTAGATTCAATGTTGATGGAATCAAATATTTGGGGAACATCATCAATAAGGACGGATTGCAACCAGATCCCGCCAAAACAGAAGCCATTATTCGTATGCCACCACCGAACAACATAACGACATTGCGTTCTTACCTGGGAGCCATAAATTATTATGGTAAATTCATCAAAAACATTCATGACTTACGACATCCATTAGATAATTTGTTGAAGAAGGATTGCCAATGGGAATGGACCAAAGAATGTCAGAATTCATTCGATAAATTCAAGGAAGTTCTTCAATCAGATCTCCTGCTCACCCACTACAATCCACTTCTGAAGTTTGTCGTAGCTGCTGATGCATCTAGTATTGGTATCGGTGCATGTATCTACCATGAATTTGAAGATGGTTCAAGAAAGGCAGTGTATCATATTTCGAGGAAATTGACTGATACCGAACAAAAGTATAGTCAAATCGTGAGGGAAGGTCTTGGGCATATATATGCTGTACAAAAGTTTCATCGTATGATCTATGGTAGGAAGTTCACCCTTCAGACTGATCATAAACCATTGTTAGCAATATTTGGATCCAAGAAAGGAATACCTTCCTACACAGCAAACCGTTTACAACGGTGGGCACTAATTTTGAAGGCATATGATTTTGATATTCAGTACATCAAAACAGATGATTTTGGTTATGCAGACATACTTTCTCGACTGATCAATACTGATGCAAGCCAAGAAGATGAAGAATATATCATTTCGGTTCTCAACTTGGAAGCTGATGTATTTTATACTCTGAGTTCAGCAATAGAGCATTTCCCAGTAACTCACAAAATGATCTTGCATGAAACAGAGAAGAATCAAAACTTACAAGAAGTTTTGAAATACATCGAGAAAGGAATTTGGCCAAAACGAAGTGAAATCTCAGACAGGATTTTGCCATTCCATTCAAGAAGGGAGTCATTGTCTGTGATTCAAGGCTGTTTGATGTTTGGAAACAGAGTAATAATTCCGAAAGTATTTCAGCAAAGAATACTGCAACAGCTCCATAAGGGTCATCGAGGTCGAGATCGGATGAAATCCATTGCGAGGAGTTATGTCTACTGGCCCAATATAGATCAAGACATTCAAGATTTTGTTAGAAAGTGTTCAAGTTGTGCACTAGCATCAAAATCGCCAAACAAGGCACCATTATCATCATGGCCTATTCCTAATGGTCCTTGGGAAAGACTTCACATAGACTATGCTGGTCCACTAGATGGTGAATATTTCATTATAATCGTGGACGCATATTCGAAATGGCCAGAAGTGTTCAATACTAGAACTACGACTACTGCATACACTCTGAAAATACTAGAAGAAGTTTTCGCAAGATTTGGAATTCCACTAGTTATCGTTACAGACAATGGAACTCAATTCACAGGCGAAAATTTCGAATCATTTTGTGTTCAAAATGGTATCCAACACCTAAAGACGGCGCCATATTTTCCACAATCGAATGGCCAAGCTGAGCGTTTCATTGATACTTTCAAACGAGCAATTAGAAAAATCAAACCAGGAGTACCATCGTTGAGTCAGCAGATTCAAATATTTTTGTCTACATATAGACTTACCCCAAACAGAAATACACCAGCTGAAAAATCACCTTCAGAAATTATGTTAGGAAGAAAACCTAGAACAACATTCGACCTACTTTTCCCACCTTGTGAAAACAATTCCTCAAACAAAAATTCGGATCTACATAACAGAAAACAAGGATCAAAAATGAGAGTTTTCAATAATGGTGATGAAGTTTTTTGTAAAATACATCATGGAAATGATTTTACATGGAAGCCTGGTAAAATCATAGAAAAGATGGGGAAGGTGATGTATAATGTCTTGATGGAAGAATTTAAGAGAAATCAGTTGATCAGAGCTCATGTCCATCAATTGAAACCCCGTTTCACTCAAATCAAGGATGATGAGAACTCTCAAAATCAACTACCATTCTCAATACTTTTGGATTCATTCGAAATCAAGAAGCCAAATACAACATCAGAAACTATAGCACCTGCCGATCTCACTCATCAAGAAAATTCAGAGGAGAACATTATCATGGCATCTGGATCTAGTGTGAGCAAAGAGCGCGAGCCATGTAGACCTACTAGAGAAAGAAGACTTCCAAGTTACTTTAATGATTTCAAATTATGAGAGGGAGGTGTTGGGTAGCTCAGTATATTATACAATTCAATTATTTCATTATTGATTGTCTTGTCAGATATTAAATGACAGCATTATTATATGTTGATAGTTATTCAATAAAGTATTGAATTCAAACATATAGCAGCAGTTATAACAGAAAGGTAGTTGATGACGTCACAATCTAGTGACTTTGCCCACCAGATTTAGGTTGGTATTACTACAATTGGTAGCACTTTGTTTCAAGGTCACCCGATATGCATGTTGCAGGTGGTCGATGAGTCATCCTTATCTCGACTTCGTAGAACAATGCCTCCTTTGTTTGCCATATGTTATCTAGCCTACCTCTAGAACAATGCCGCCTTTGTTCTCTCTATGCCACTGTCAGCGTTTCTTGGAATTCCGGCTATTCGGAAATTGCGACGCAATATACGAGAACAATGCCGCCTTTGTTTGCAGGTGTCCGATTACGTAACAACCTCATCCGATTGCATCATCCTTATCTGTGTGAGAACAATGGGTCCATCGTTCTGACGCAGGTGGCCGATGAGTCATCCTCATCTCGACTTCGTAGAACAATGCCGCCTTTGTTTGCAGGTGTCCGATTACGTAACAGCCTCATCAGATTGCATCATCCTCATCTGTGTGAGAACAATGGGTTCATTGTTCTGACGCAGGTGGCCGATGAGTCATCCAACAGACATGTTCAAACTTGTTGTTGTCACGAGCCATTCAATCATGGATACTGGATGTGTTTGCCGAATCTGCCCAATAGCTTATATCAGCTGTGCGCATGCGTAGCTACCACTACCACTTTTCAGACTTGACCTTTGAATCAGTGTTACAATGTCCTTGGACGAGTACAGAAGCAAGTTGGAGGAATGTGGGGAGCGGGTTCGACAGCTGAACAAAGACATAACATTGTACGAAGATAAAACCAGAGTATTGAATCAATTGGAGAATCTGAGTTTGTGGGATAAAGTTTTCAGCAGCTGTGGAAGAGTACCAGCAGTAGAGGTGCCTGTTGAGCAGAGACGACACATCCAGCCTCAAAATGTCACGGGTGGCATTCATAATTCTGACAGCAATTTTGAATAACGTATTGTATACGAATGTTCCCAACGATGTCAAGAACATGGCGATATGTTTCAATGACTCGAAAGAAGATTGCAATCGATCATCGTGGACAGCGATGCGAAATAAGTTGGTGAACAATGGATGTCTACCAGTATTCTACAAAGAGATACCAGAGACGAATAATTCCTTCTTCAAACTCGAGTTGATGTTTTCCGGTGGATCTGAAGAGGATACCGACTAGCAAACTATAGGAGCCCCCACAACAGGAATACAGAATGAATTTAATAAAATGTTCATATTACTAGGTTTGACATTAGCAGCTACGTTCGTTTTGATTGTGAAAGGTGTTATACAAGGTGTTTCAATAAAACTCTTTATCATAATGTTTATTGAGCCAAACACAGTACATCTTCATTTAGGTAATATTACATTTATAAACCACTGGTAAAGTTGATCAACGTTCCGCTGGCACACATATATTTTCCATTGGCGTGGTTGGGGCAGTACGATATAGTTTGCTGGTAGGTTTACTGGAACAGGGTGTTCCATCATACAAAGCAACATCGTATACAGTTGGGAATACTTCAAGTTCTTCACATTTCGTCTTCAAAAAGTCAGCTTTCTGATTGCCCCTCACGTACATACATTCAACCGAATGCAAGAGATATTTTTCCAAAATGTTGTTCAGTTCCGTATATTCAACATCACCAGCATCATATGGTATTCCATGAACGAATTTCTCCACATAACATGTAGTTTTCTTGTCACGTTCACTAATGGTAGCAAACGGTGTAGGCGGTTTGAATAGGAAGTTGGATCTCTGGCGGCCAATTTGAATGGTCAGCTCTTTCGGGTGGAAAACACTGTCAAGAGTGGAGCCTTGAATGTCGACAAGTGCGATTCACATGACGGCTGACGATCGAATGCGAGCTCGAGCAGTTTGCAGTTGGTATTTATACTCAAATCAAGGTTCTGACGACTTCCGTTAGAGGAAAGTACTCTAGCAGACAGTCATGTACGATGATGCAATAGGCTTTGGTGTCAGCAGGGAATCCTTTATCGGCTTCGATTTCAAGCTTTATATCAACTGTCGATGATTTCATGGTCTCTTCCTGCCTCGAACAAGCAATCACAAATAATGCATGCTGTTTGAATTCCCCATAATCCAAGATTGGGTGAACCTCCGTCGAATGTGAATAGCTCGAATAGAACCTGGTATAGTTGTAGTAAGCAAGGGTGTTGTCTTGTTTAGCAAAATTCAGCTGCATTCTCTCATTAGGCCAATATTCACCATTAAGGGCTAATCTGATACTAACTATGCTCGTGTTATCAAAGTGGGCAGCATCAGCTTCTGCATTGTCACGTTTAGATTTCTGGAAGCACACAATAACGTACCGAGGACGTTCCACCGAAGCGCTCGTTTTGACTGCCCAGATTTCACTTTTTGCGCCGTTTGTAAGAGCAGGCAATTGGCTGAGGTCCCATTTCCTGAATGGAATCAGTATAGGTGTATCATTTTTTATGGGTTGCATCAGTTGTAGTTTGATTTCATCGTTCGGAAATACGTGCTTCACTTTTAGCACTACACTATGTATTTGTACTTCAACTGTAGTAGTAGTGGTTGTAGGTCCATTGGGGAGTTCCTGTACTATCACGCAATCGTTATCATTACGAGCTCGAATCAGTCGGATTGTTTGTTTTCCATAGGTGATTGAGGTGTAGTCATTGAAAACGTTGAACAGGTGCTTTAGTGGTATCAACAAACTGAATATTTTGTCAATTGCATTCAAAAGCGGTTTATCAGGACGTCCATCCGGCTGTGGATAAGTGTTTGGAATCATCAGGTTTATAGCACATGAATCCTCGCACACTACTCACGATCCCTGGATCTCTGACTACTTCTATCTCTCTTGCACTCTGCACATAACTGCAAGAATCGAATAGAAATGCCCCACAGTTGGGGGCAAAGTACACATTTCCAGCTCCTTGCACATTCAACGTTCCTTTGATTTCCAGCAATGACTCATGCATTGCAAAAAATGTGTCTGCTTGATTTATGTTGATTTCCACCATATCATTGTTATTGAAGGATTTGACGTATGGGATGTAGGAGCGATATTCTTCTTTTCGAATAGTTTCATCATATCTGGGCCGACGATACAGATCAAAAATTGGGTTTGTGTGGTTGAATGTTGGTGCTGTTGATTGTTCCGAACGAATATACTTGCGCTTGTTCATTTTTTACTCGTAATCCGATTGCTTGCAGAAAGAAAACGTTTTCTGGAGTGAGCTCCTGTCACTTCGGAGGTCCCGTTGATACTGAGGAGTTTGTGGTTAATCTTTCATTATCAACTACTAGACCCATTCAACGTTCTTGCAAGTCCAAGTGCAGGGTGCCCTTTTCTTCTCGGAAATTAACAGGTCTTAGGTCCTGATCCAGCACTCTAACGGTAATGTTAGTGATGTCAGTAGGTATACAAAGCTGATTGATGGCCAGAGCCGCAATAAAATGCCGCTAGTTAGCGTTGGCGCTGGTGTCGCTGGTGGCGCGAAGTTCAAATTTGCAGATGGCGGCGACGCTGATGGCGGTAAATTTGAAATTGTGAGGTTATGACATCTTAATCATTATGATGAATTTTTAAATAAATAAATAAATTAAAAAAAGCTGTCACCGCTGCTGGGAAATTGAACCAGGGACCTTTGCATTATGAGGCAGCGTATATACGCACTGTGGTATTCCGTCCTCCGTGATATTTCAATTATTTTGATGCTATTCAAACGGGATATCCATCGCTGGCGCGCGCTTATCGTTGCAAGGGATCTATCGAGGTGGAGTGAAGCGAGAGATGCATTCCAGAGATAAGAAACTTCGAGTCGAAAATAATATGCATCGCTGGCGCGCGCTTATCTTTGCAACGGATCTATCGAGGTAGAGTAAGGCTCGAGCGCTCGGCGCTGCAACGTTGTCGAACGTATGTGTTTGGATGTTAATATTGTTACATTATTTTGTGTGGCAACGCTGTCTCGCTTCATGGCGTTCGAAAATCCAGCAAAGCGAGAGATCCCGTAGAATGATAAGCGCGCGCGCTCGTTTTGGAAACGAATACTTGGATTATTTATTCATTTTAAAGTGGGTGACGTCATGCCGTTACCTTCATGGCGTTCGAAGTTCCAGCAAAGCGAGAGATCCCTTAGAATGATAAGCGCGCGCTCGTATACCCATTCCTCAAACTGTGACTTTAATGACAATAACAAGATTGAATTTTCATATACAGGGCGTTTGAGTTGATTGAAAATTGAAAAAAATATATACAGAGTGTCCCACAGTTCGCGGTCCCATGTTTTAGCATAGAAGAAGTGTTTGAGTTGAAAGAAATATATACAGGGTGTTTGAGTTGATGAAGATTGAAAAAAAAAACTATATACAGGGCGGCCCACGGGGGTGAAAGAATACGAAAACGAAGATAAATAATCTATTTATTTAAGTAATCCTTTTCTACGAAAATGACATGCCTCTTGAGAAGATGGTGGTCTATCCCATTGTGTGGTCCAATCGAGACGATTATAATGAACGAAGCATGGCAGTTTGATTTGTAGGTTGAAGTTGCTGCGATATTCTTGAGGAAGTTTGTGCCACACCCCTAATAGCCCATAAGGATCTGCATATTCAATGAGACATTCTACTGGAATGTACTGCAATTCTTGTTCAGTGAATTTTGTCAGAGTCAAAGCGGGGGATTATATAAAATCCAATAGCACAGCTATTTCAGACTTCATGATTTTTCGAGCAGAGCTAAAATATTTCAGATGCTACTAGTCTCGCGTCAAGTTGTAGACTGATGAAATAAAAAAAACGAGTCACATATTTCACAGACATTTATCCAAATCAGCCATCGAATCATTTTTACAGTAATATAGATATTCTCTGAGAGCGTTACTAGACATGCAATCGCAAACATCACAAACCCCTAATATAAGCTCTCGTGCACTCAAAACAGTCAGTTTATTTTTTATCCATTCAGCTATTACATTGATAATATTCTGATAAAACATACAAAAGTCCAAGCCATTGATTAAATTAACTCGATGTGAAACAATGCACATTTCAGCACTCAAAATGTCTGCAACATCTTCTTCCATCAGATCAAATATGACGTGGTATTTGGAGAGGGTCAACATTTTGACACCATCGCAGACATATTTGGCTACGGTAGCATAGTCTCCACAAGCAGTAATGATCGGCTCATATTCATCAATAAAACCAGGTAGGGGTTGTTCAAAAAAGTCCTGTTGTGTCTTATGCAGCAAATCGATGAAGGTGGCCCATTCGTAAGTACTGAATGAAATTTTCGCTGAATAGAAGGGTTTCTTCAGAATGATGGCCGGACTAAATTGTCTAGCTGGACTGAGTCCACACTGGATTGTGTAAGTGGACAACTGGAACGATGTATTCAGCAGGTGGTGTGATTCGGCTTTCGCTGCTTATTCAATCATGTTCAAATATGTATTGACATCACCATAATAACCCATCATTGATGATGATGATCTAGAACTACCGTCTTCGAAAAGCACCTCACTAGATGAATAACCAGAGTCTTCACTCATTGTTCTCGAACTGATGTGTTGAAAGTTTCAGTCCTCATTATTTATACCATAACTGTTGACTGATCATAACATCCGGCAGATTGGAATAACAGGTTATTTGTTAGTGATCGATGAAAGGCCCTCTCATAGCCATTAAATGTGTGCTTCTTTTCCATATGATTAGATTATAACTTGTTGGTGGAATCAATCCAGCTGTTGTGTGTTTCATCGAATCCTAGCCAATTGACAAACACCTTTTTACCCCTCTTTCTTAAAACTTCTTCCACTAGATAGATGTCAGGATTTATAGTTTTTTGCAATTCTTCAGGATAATAAGCACCTTTGATCGGAGTACCATGCAAATCTCCCAAGAGATATGTAGTAGGTTTCGTAATACGAACTTTTACGATTTTAAATAGTTCAGTAGTCCAATTTGGCGTATAATTCTTTTCGAAAACATGTTTGGCTTTGCTGATTCTCACAATGTCACCAACGTTGAATTTTCTAATTCCAGCAATTTTTATGTGATTGTAGACGGATTTGAGAATGTCTTGTTCGTTGGCTTTGGTGACGTCACTGGGCTTGCATCTAATCGTCGTATGTTTCGTGTTATTATAATTCTTCGTGATTTCAGGCAGGACATCTATCCAACGGTATGAGCCATTCGAACTAAAGAATTTGTACAGTTTTTCCTTCAATGTTCGTATAACACGTTCAGCAATAGCCGCCTTCATTATGGTGTAAGTATGATAATGGTTGATGTAGAACTTTTTCATCAGACTTTGAAACTTTTCGTTGTAGAATTCGGTACCTTGATCGGTTCGCAAATTCTTGGGAAATCTGTTGTTGGCATGCGATAGAATATCAGCAAATGCACGAGCGATTTCAGCACCAGTTTTTGATTTTAGTGGTCTAGTCCATAGGTACTTGGAAAAACAATCAATCACGACCATTATCAGCTTGTGATCCTTATTTACAGAGGCATAAGGTCGCATTTCGGCTAGATCCATTTGCCATAAGTCATCCAAACCTTGGATGATAATGCGGCGCCTTGGAAATTTTTTCCTAGCAGGTCTATGTAATTCATTGACGAGTTGGATTTTTTCTTTAGAATGTGACATATTGACTTCGTTGGATTAGGAGTTTATATGATGGGTTTCACACAGGAGGCTTCCTTTTTGGTGGCAGTGGTGTTGTCGTAGATTTTGGAGTGATGGCAATCTTGGCCAGATCTTTTTTCATTTGATCAATGACATCAGCAAGCTGGCGTTCTTCATCACGGCTGTGTTGTTGCTCAGCCTTCAAATCGTGCAAACTCTTCACAGTGTTGTCAATCTTATCGACAAGTTCTAGAATATTTTTCACATTCAAGTCGATGTCGCTTTCGAGTTTTGGTAGAGAGTTGTTGCGAAGCTGCTCCACATGTATGTTGATCTTGTGCACTATGCCAGACAACTGAACAAAGTTTGTATTGTACGTTGCCAGTTTGAGATCATGAGGATCCACTATCTTTCGTACATCGATAATTTCGTTGCTGAAGCCAGCAAGGCAATTTCGGATTTTTTCACCATAATTATCGAAAGCAATCTTGAAATCTAACTTTATTTGCGATATAACTTCATCCACATATTGTTTGTTTGCAACATCAGCGACATCTGTTGGCAGTTTTACGTTACACATCTTCAAATGACCAACATCAATATCACCGGTTGGAGTATGTGAAAATCCAGATCTGACTGTCACCATCTGAGCTGAGCGTGGAAACGAACCACGTCCGAATTTGTCGAGACTCATTATGCTAATGACTAAAGTATTGTACGTTATCAATAATGGTCGGCACTTTGCCTCGCCAATTATTAGCCCCTTCACTCATAGACATGCCATGGAAGTGTCACGGAACTGTCACGGAAGTGTCAAGGAACTGTCACGGAAGTGTCAAGGAAGTGTCACGGAACTGTCACGGAAGTGTCAAGGAAGTGTCACGGAAGTATCACGGAACACGGAAATGTCACCGAATCGTCACACATGTTTTATTATGCCTGCCTCTTCTAATTCGTTCAAGATGGCAACAATCTCGTTATCGTTTGATGT